ATACAAAGCTATCTTCAAGTCTTCCTTTGTATCAAAACAATCATCTTTCTTGATACGAATAACTTTTGTGTAACAATCAACTGATATCTTTACCAACTCTTCTTCCGGTATCTGAAGTAATTCTGGCATATTCCAATTATACTCCCGTGGCATTTTCTTCTTTTTCCTTTCTTCGGGGACTTCGTCTTCTTCTTTTTCTCTTCAGGGTTATATGAATTACAGAATGGATGTTCAACATGTTCATTCACAGTCGTAACTTCCTCCTCATTATCATCAACAACATCTTCCTCGGCAGCGGCTGTTTCATCATCAAAATTCGTATTTTGACTAATATCAAAATCATTACATGCATGTATGTTTCTTCTTCCATCACATCATCAAAATCCGAGTATTGACCAAGATCAAAGTCCGGGTATTGACCAAGATCAAATTTCGAATACTGACTAGTACTCACAATTTTTTCTGTTGGCTCATAATCGTCTAACTGGTCAATACGAAAACCGAAAATTGGTGCTGAAAGTTGATTGGGATTTGGATTAGGAAAAGGTTGTGGGTTTTGAGATTGTGTTTGATATCGTGTTTGGTATTAGAAATGTGGTGAAACAAAATTTGCATGGTGATGAAATTGTGGTGGAACCATTAAATTTTGGGTTGAAGAACTTAGTTGATTACTACCCGCTACTGACCCAATTTCACTACTTCTAGGTTCAACAACATATAATGTAACATCATCTTCTTGCGAAACACTAATGTAAGCAATGAATCGTTCAACATCTTCATTGTCGGTTAACAAATAAACTTTACCTTTTCTCAGATAAGATAGCCTAAATCCACTTAGAGGCTCTAAATTCAATTTCTTTGCAACACGTAACATTAGAGTTTCATAAGTTACCTTTTTTAATGACAGTTTTAGTTGAAGATTCATGGGTAAAGGCACATATTGTAAAACACCATGAACATTCTCCCATGACCCTCCAAAACACAAATTTATCCAAACATGATCAACATTAGATGATTTCATTCTAAAAATTGTAAATTAATTTACTAAACAAACGAGCTATAAACTAGATATCATCACTAACTTAGAGAAAAGCATACCTTTATTAAGTTGATAGTTGATAATTTGAGAGAGAAATCATTGAAAAATTATATAGAAATAAAATTATGTAAAAAAAATAGAGACGGGGAAGGATGTCGTTGGATATAGGAACGGATGTCGCCGGAGAGAGTGATAGATGGAGATGAAATGAGTTGCGATTTAGGGATTTATGTTATGAGTTGTTGCTGCTGCGTTGTTATATACCCAAAACATTTGTGTTGCGAAATTAAATTCGCGTTGCGAATTTGAAATTCAGTTGCAAATTTGAAATTCAGTTGCGAATTTGACTTTCGCGTTGCGAAATTGGAAACTGGGTTGCGAAATTGCAATTCGCGTTACGAATTTGAGATCGCGTTGCGAATTTGTTGGTCATTTTGACAAATCCAAAAAAAGTTGGTTAAATTCGTATATTATTAGGTATTTTTTGTCACTGAAGTTATTTTCTCTTAAATTTATTACCAAAACAAACTATTAATTATCTTTCGCTCATCTATGAATCCATCTATATAATTCTGAACATTTAGTTCTCAGAAAAGCTGCCGTTTGAGACAGACAACTACTTTGGATCTAAATGGAAGAAAAAGACAGACAGTGCTTTTATGAAGGAAGAACAAAGTCATCAATGGCTTGAAAACGAAACCCCCTCATCATTTTTGGCAGTTTCCCCTGAAATATAAAAACAGAAAATCCAACAAACGTGAAATCTTTCTACAAATCGACATGTCCCTCTGAGCTTACATGTCGGCAGTCATGGGGGTCCTAAATGTAGAAGTGGTGTTCTTTTAGGGGAAATTGACGTGATGGAACAATGACGACGGCCTAAAATCAGCCACGTCAATATTATAATAATAATTGTGGAGAAAAATGAGTTCACTCACTCCACGCATGCTTAATTGCACCTTCGGTTTTCACCTACAAGAGATGATAGTGACTTTTATACATGGAACAACAAGAAGAAAAAGCAATGGCAACTAAGGTGACCACATCGTTAATTTTCTACCTACACATATATATTTGTTTCATACGTACGTATATATGATTCAACTCTCAAAGTAAATTGTTTAACTACAAAAATATAATATCATTCAAATACAACTACTTGATCTCGAGATATCTAAGAAAAAATATTCTCATTTACCATCGAGACTACTCAAAGGATTCTATTATATAAGTATTTTTTTTAATTAAGCTGGAGTGATTACTAGATAATATTTGTTTTAAATTCTCTCAATCATTAGACAATGAACGTTCAAACACCTTTGCAGACGTTGTGCTCGAATTCAAACCTTTAACTATAACAATCATCCTTTAACTACCGAGGTCGTTTGGTTCGTGATATATAAGTATATACCCGTACTATCATTAACCCGATTACCCTAATCTGGATTCACATATAAAGCACAGGGAGAGTATTATTCAAGCGTTTGCTCCGTCGGCCATATCGAGGATTGCTTTGAAATCACACGTTTTCGATACACGTCGACGCGCCGAAAAACCAATAGTACTGCTATGAAAGCCGAAAATAACGTGTGATGTCCGGTAGCTCGGACCCTTATAATAAATTGTTCACTTATTATTTTTTTGAGTAAAGTACAAAAAGATCCCTAGAGCTTTGTTTCTTTTCTTTTCTTTTACTACTAAAAGTTGTAAAATTATATTCTAACTAGAGGATATTAATTTGTCGAGTCTTCCGACTATTCATAAATATCAAACTCATATTTTTTCGTTAAAAAACTTATAACATTATGAGTTGGACTTTAACCTACTAACTAGGATATGATAAAGCTTGATCCTAAAATTTCAAACGACTATTATATCATAATCAGCATGTTAACATCCAACTTAGATGACTGCCAAACTTTTAACGAAAAAAGACGAGTTTGAAACATATGCATAATTTGATGACTATTTTGTAACTTTTAATAGTTGAAGACTTAACAAAACAATATCATATAGTCAAAATATCATTTTGTAACTTTTAATAGTCGGGGACTCAACAAAGCAACGCTCTATAGTCTATGGATCATTTATGTACTATGCCCTAATTCGTATAGCAGTTATGTAGAAACCCTAGTGTCTCTCTCTCCTTTTTTTCTTTAGGATTTGTGTCAATTTTTATAGATCAAATCAACTTTTTTTTCTTTGATTTTGTTTAGTCGACGTTGATACTGATTTTAATAATAATTGACGATCGCCGATTTTTTATTTGTTTATTTTTTTATAATATTTTAATAAAAATTATTCTCCTCTCTGTGACAATTTTTTTCAAGCTTTGTTGGACCAAGGAGAGAAATATATATTCGCAGAACTGTGACAAAACAAGAACGTCAAAAATGGTTGTCCCTTGTTCCCATATGTAATGGGGTAAGGGGAGGTAAGATAGTAGGCTGCCCCCAATACTAGGTTGAGAGCAGCTTCCGTAGGAGACCTCCAAATTATGAAATGCCCTCCATGGGACTCGATCCTACAACCTCAAGATTAAGAACCTCGTGCTCTACTAACTGAGCTGGATATCAAAGTTGGGAGCCGTATATAATCGACAGATACTGCGGGCGATGATGAGAAGCTCCGGCACAAATAACACCATGTGTTAGGTGTGCAAAGGCGCCTCAAATTTTGACCAATTTTCCTATATTCAATTATTGATGTTTTGTAAGAGGTCACTGGTTTTTGCATCATGCAAAAATATTTAGGTATTTGTTTTTTTGCGTATTTCTATGTAATAATATTTCCAAAAGAATTTTAATTACTTCTCTAAGTGATACCAATTCAATCATAAAAACGAATAATTTAAAATAAATTAATAAACTAATATGATGGCCTAATCTAATAAATATTGTGAATCATATCAACTCACATGGTATTCAAGCCTTCGACTCAAATCAAATTTCAATTCTGTTTTTTTATAATAAAAAGTATTGTAATTTTCAATTAAGAATTCAAAAAATAACCAACTGAATTGATTGATACGAGGAAACTCAATTACAATAAAGAAAAAACAAAGATTTTATTCGTTCCGAATTTAATAAATAAATAAAGTAGCAATTATTATCTAAGAACGGTCAGAATAGTTATCACCTTAGCAAGTAAAACATAAAACCTGAACCATTTTGCAAATAAAAAGATATATATCTAAGTATGGAAAAACTGAGAACATTAGCCTTTATAGCTCAGTGGTAGAGCGTCAGTCTTGTAAACTGAAGGTCCGTAGTTCGATTCTGCGTGGAGGCATTTATATTTTTGGGGGGTCATCTACACTTTCGGTCCTGCAATTTTAAATCTAGTAAAATTAGGTTTAAATACATTTCAGGTCCTACAAATTTTCAAGCTAGTTAAACTAGGCTTTTGGCCCATAGCAGTCAATACCATTATACCATAAAATGGCAAGAATAACGTAGATTGTACTACTATTGAAGGGTTGCCATTTCCTTTGTGAACTGATTGGCGAACAAACAAGTAGACTTATCTATGAAATCGAGGCTCGAGACGCTCTCAAACACCATCCAAACGTCAAGGTGCATTATGTCGATCAAGAGGCCAGTAGAGCTACATGCTCCTTTCCATATAGGGCTTTGTCGAGGACAAATCCGTTTTTCTAGATTGTAATATTGTATCAAGAACGATGTACTTCTTAACGCCATTAGCACATGAATGAGGAAGCAACCCTTATTTCAAAATAAACGCCTCATACTGTGTCTCATATGTGAAGGACAAAATACCTAACCCCAAATCTCCAATTATCAATTAACTTATATTAGGCATATAGTGACTTTAAGTGTATCCTCTGCAATTAGAAGCCAGAAGAATGAATAGTTTTAAGGTAAAACTCAAAGTTTTCAACTCCATATGTGGGTATTTGAAAGGTCCACTCCTGGTTGAAACAAGAAGAATACCCCTAGTTAGCATTTAACACTGCCATATGGTAACATATACTCCTCTTATCTGTGCCCATCCAGACCCAACCATCAACATTTACCCGTACAGAGAGTTGAGCTATTATTTCTAGTCTACACAACTACAATCTATTTATTTACAATGTTACAGGTATTCTGGTCTTGTTTCATTTACACTTCCACGACCGCCACATGCCGGCAGCTTACATGCGCTAAGATTTGGCGATGGAGACTGTGCTTGCATCTCGGCAAGCTCTCTCACGCGTAACAAAATTGGTGCTGGAATGGGCATCGAAGGATGCTTTCGTGAATTTGCCTACACCACCAATCACAAAGAAACTTTACATGTATCGAAATGAATGAGACTAGACATGTTAGGTGGTTCAATCTCTTTCATAAGAATAAAATGAAACAAGCCGAAATGATATTTATCATATATATGGTTTACACAGAATAAAATTTAAATGAATTACATGTTTTTCAGAACGTTGGATTAAATAAGTTTAACGGCTGAGATAAAAACTTTAAATTAAGGATAATCCACTTCTTTTTTTTGGTAAAAATCTCGTCATTTCCTATTGTTAATCTCAGTCACCCGTTTTCATCCATCCAACGATCCAAAAAAAGTGTCAAACTTTTTTACACTTTGTCAATGGATCTTGAGAGAGATAGGATCTAATTACACATTGTAAAACTTTCTTAGTTTTATACACATTTAGGACCGTGGATGAACAAAAATAGATGGATGAGATTAACAGTGAGAAATGAGAAGATATTCACTTAAAAATACAGCTGTCCATTTTCTCTCATCCAACGGTTTTAAATCTATATAAAACTAAGAAAATTTTACATTATGTAAGTGGATCCTAACCTATATATATATATTGAAGTTGCAACTTTTGACTATATCAGGATTTACAATCAGCAAACAGCAGGATCAATAAAAAAAACTGTATAAAGAGGATGATTCAAGTTAAATATTTTGTATGCAAAAAACCATTAAAAAAAGGATGACATCTCACCCCTTTGTCTGCTGGTGGCTGCGCAAAGCTAGCTTTCAGCAAATTCCGCCATTTGTCCTGCAAAATACATTTATCAGCAAAAATGATTCTTCCGAGTCGTAACAGATTCCTATGTTTAACCAAACAACAAAGTTGCACTTGTCTTAACCATTTATTCACCGACAAAAATACCCTATGCATACCTTGAGATCAACAGAGGTTCTATAGGAATAGGATGCAAAGGCAAACTTTTTAATCTCAGACCATCGACCAGTTCCATACTTAGACACACCCTCAACTAGCTTCATAACCTCAGAAAGAGTCCAAGATCGATGATGTTTCCTTCTAATTCCCCCTTTAGCTGTTGGCACAGTAACAACATTATCATCTGAAGTATCTCCCAATGGATCTACATATTTTAACTCCATATTCTGCCCCAGATCAGTTGATGACTTCTCTTTATTTGATTCAGCTACAAACTGAATGTAGAAACAGAATATTTAAAAATAGCGTTCAGTTTCAATCAAGTAAAGAAAGGTACAAGGTGTAACATGGTTCATGTTATAGATATCATTTACTCTTTTTAACCTGTTGCGGAGTTTGCTCGAGAGTAGATTTGGCTTCCAAAACTTTGTTCATACTCGCATTGCCCATCTCAGAGCCATGTACATCAAGACCCCTCTTTATAAACGTAGCTGTCATGCCCATGCCACTGGGATGGAATTTCTGTAGAATGCAGTTCAGGTAGCATCAATACAACAACATTTACCATCTACAAGAGACCAGTAACACAGGTGACGGATTCCAATAACGCACAAGTGAACACCCTTTCAATAAAAGTTGTATCCAAATTGTTATCTACCAAGTTAAAAAATGCTCAGGTCAGAAAAGAATACCGATGAATAAAGTAACAAGCAAACTAGGGCTGCAAGGCACATGCAAACTTCCCAGAAGATCATGAAAGCTAGCAGGGAATATATGTTCTTTTCAAAAGCAAATATCAACTTAAGAGACCTGAATACTTAAAGCCAAGATCATATTGCTGAGATAGAAGACCGGTGTATCTTTTTCACATACCAAAAGTGTAGTAACATTCTTCCTCGGTCGGCTTCTTCGTACCCGATAAACACATGGAACCTGAATCCCAAATCCTCCAAGAGAATCCAACCTCGTGATAACCGTTCTCCCCTCTAAGGACACATTTCTAGCAGGCCTAGCATGAGAATTTGAAGGCAAGGGTCTAATCCCAATGTTTTTAGGTGAAACAATTAACCTGCCACTGTACTCTTTGGACTCTGCTTCAGAAAGTTCTTCAATATACCGCTTTGTTGGCTTCCGGACCCTCTTTGCAGCTCTCTGATCTGCAGCAAGATCTTCATTTGCAAAATTGTTTTCCACAACATTATTTCCTGATCTAGCCTCTGAAATAGTTTGATGCTCATCAATTTGACTACTAAGGTTATTGAGCAAGTCCCCATTGTATTCAACTGCAACTGCTGAGTATACTTTCCCAGTACCAAGATTCACATTGTCAGAACTATCTTCCTTATCCTTTTTCACCAATTTATTGTCTTTAATTACAAAAGTTGTAGTTGAAACATCACAAGAATTAGTCAATCCCATGGCAATCCTTCTTTTAAGCCACAGCTTGTCCTTAACAGTAGTGTCTCGCCCAAATGTTGCCTTAAAAACTTCATGAAGTTCTTTAATTGATAAATTATCCAAGCATATTTCACCCTTCAACTTGGAAAAATCAGGTTGTGAACTGATACAGCCAGCAGAAGTTGATGCTCCACCTTGTATTGGCCCGTCTAGAGGCTTTAAGCACATCCCAACACTCACAGGTTGAGTAACATGATCATCACTCGAGCATTGTGCCCTGGAAGGAACAGTTTCCTGCAAATGAATTCAAGAGTGGAGCTTCTCAGGAATATCCTATGCTGCTCAGAGAAGTGGCTGTCTACATTCATATAAGCAGAAGCATGATCAGGAGGTAGACATGCTAAGCAGAGCCTGCCTTAATGTTTGACTCTGTGCAACATTTTTTCAAAGTATCATATAAGATATTAAGGCCAAGAGGGATACAAGACAACTAATAGTTCAATCAATGGTAAAACAATTGACTTCACATCAATCACGTGCTTGAATACGTACAGTTAGAGGGAAAAAACAAAGAAAGAGAAAAAAACCAATAAATTATAGTAGTGTATAGAGCATAATGTGTAGTAGATATCATCCCTCCCAAAAGACATGTCAGAATATGCAGTGGCTTTAACAACTAGACAATTATTTTTGCAAGATATAAGTTCAGCAAATTCCAAAAGGATAAGAATTCAGCCCTCCTCAAGCATTGAAACCCATGAGTAGATTATTAACATAAACTCCTTCAAACTGAAAAATAAGCCTTCAAGAGAAAAATTAGAGAGGATTACGCCCTAGGCCATGCTTTATATGCAAATATGATAAGCATCCATTAATCCACTTAAATAAAGTTAAGAAGCAAATTGCAATGAAAATTAAGAGTACCTCAAGTTGTGTGCTTAATTTTTCAGTTTCAGCTTCTGTGTTCTCAGATTGTGACAAACCTGGCAAATATTAATCATTCAGAAGATTAAAGTATCTAAAAAAAATCACGAAAAAAGTAGCATGCAACTGTTCATCCTGTGAGCATAAAGCTGACACAGCAAAACCCGACGTAATGCCAGCAATCAATACCCAAAACATCTTCAAGTCCGAAGATAGAGTTTTATGTTAGCCTTCTCTTATACTGTCTGTATTGCTCATATTTTAATTCTTGGAATATTGTTTTAAGAATCTATTTCTCTTAGGGTTTAGTAAGTTTGATGGGCTTTGCTCCCTCCAGGGAGATTCTCTTGTACAAGTCTTCATCACTCAGACTGTACCTACTTGGCATTTGGCATCTTTTAATTTAATTATTTAAGTATATCAGGGAAGATGTAAGTTGAATACCAAATACAGGCAGAAAAATCTGTGAAGCATAACAGAAAGCATGCCAAAAAAAAATCAGCCCACACCATCAGCGCAGATTAAAATACAATTAAAAAAAAGCTCAATGAATAATGAAATCCAATTCTCTGGTAGTAGCTCCAATCATAAGAGAAACACTTTCTTACCCTATTTTAATGGGTGTTAAAATTATTCATGATCTAGGGCTAAGAAAAGCATACCTTCTGAGCTTTCTAACTGAGGCATGCCTGAGGATGACGCTTCATTAGAAGTATACCCGAAAGCCTGTCCAGTGTCTTCAACAATAAGAGCCTCACGCTTCTCATTTTCCAGCAAACCTTCAACCTCCATCAGTTCATCATCTGTTGCAGGCACTAATCGCCCATTCCCATCAACCTATCGAGATAAAATTCAATTTCAAATTGCTTGAATCTTTTTGATGTGTGCTTGGTTAGCAAAATGAACATTATACTAAGAAATATGGTAACCCCCTCAAAAACCTACTCTTCCTATTGCTGATCGTTCTAAATAATACTTTGGTATGAAATGTCCAGATCATGTCAACAGCTGCATTCAGGTCATACTAAACCTGACATTCAACCAGCTTCTACATGTTATTGTTTTCTAAATGAGTACATGATATATTCACCAAATTAATCTGCCTTTCATAAACCAGCTAATCTGGCCCAAAATATTTCTGATATATAAAGGACCAGTATCAATACCTGGTAGTGTAGAAAGCTTGATATAACACTTTAAACATCTTTTACCTAACACACAGTCAAATAACTTCCTCCTCAATTTTTACATTAGTGTAGTTCAAATATCAAACTAAAGCAAACCCAAGCCAAAATTCTGAAACACACACAGTTGGAAGGGAAAAAAAGTGGGAAGAAAGCACAAGTTATCTATATATATCAGTAGAAAAATGAAAATTAGAATAACATTTGCTGAAAGAGGTACCCGTACCCGGACAAGCTTGTAAACAACTGGATCAGCAACATGCTTTGGTGAAGATAAAACGAAGTTACTTTTCTCAAGGCCAGTCACTTCAAATTTCCCTTCTTCACTCCCCTCAACTTTAACCACTTTTTCCATGGAAAATCCAAGAAACACAGCTCAAAAACAAAAACTGGAAGCCAATACCAAATGAACGGCCAAATGAATACAAATATCAAATTTATATTACATCTCAAACTGAAAACTTCATTCATGCATGGAGACAAAAAACAGCAAACAAAATTCAAATTCTGTAGTTCCGTTATGGATATTATTTATTAGGTCACTTAAACTTTACTTGTCCAACAGTCAAATAACCTACTTTCTTGAATTGATTACCAAATTCATCGAAAGGAGTCCAAATTTTAACACAATGTAGAATATACATTAATATAAAAGAAAGTATTGAGCTACACGTGATAAATCAAACAAATACATTAAAATTTCCACTTTAAAGAAAAAAATTAAGACATCTCATTTCATGCAGCACAATTCTCAATTCGATGAATTGAAACCTTAACTCTCAAATTCTAACTACCTAAAAGTAAAATAAGATAGTGCTCAAACTACTTATAAGTTATATTTCCATACGAATAAACAAGAAAAATAAATAACAAATAAAACCTCGCATATTTCTATAATTAATCATATAAATTGCATTTTAGCAAGACAGAAATTAAAAAAAACAACAACAACAGAAATTTCAAAAGGGGAAAAAGGATTGAGCAGTTTGGCACCATAGGACTGTGAGTGCTGACCGAGTTGACTCAGGCTCCCCTCCAAACGGTAAACCAAGAGAAAAGGACGCAACGTGGCCGATTTGTAGTGAGTTAGATGCGTTAAAACTGTGTTGATGAAACAAGTTAACAAAATAAAAGAGAAACTTCGAGAATAAGACAAGGAATTTTTTCCCTTTTGAGTGAGTTTTATTTTTTTCCGTGAGCGCTTTGGGCGAGTGAGTGAATGAGCTCCTTTTTTGTCACTCTTTTTCAGTACGCTGAGTTTACTGTCATACATACAATTTCGGATTTGAAATTTTCTTTATGTGTGATTTTATAATATGGCGTAGAGTCCAGGATAATTTTTTCGGTAAGGACCTTCTGGTCTTTTTATATACGGTTTATATATTATTTTAGGATCAACTATAAAAATCTCACGTTCGATTGAATTTTATAAAATTTTTAACTAAATTTAAAAAATATAAAATTTAGTTATTTTCGTTGTTTTAATTAAAATATGTTGAAAACATTTTGATATTTCGATATGAAAAATTAAGTTAAATGAATTTTAAGATTTTTCAAAATGATTTTCTAAGTATATTCGATATAATTATTCAAATATCAAAACATTACTTAAAATATTTTAAAAATCATTTTTAATCCTTACTTAAGTGTAAAATTAAGTTTTAATCTTAAAACAATTTCAAAATAATCTTTCAAAGTATTTCGAACCATTTCAAAGCCAAAAATTCCAGATTGCTCAGAGGGAACCGATTCCCCCCAAGGGGGTACCGATTCCCCCATGAATGGTTTGGCTCCGAGATTTCCAGAATGCTCGGAGGGAACCGATTCCCCCATAAGGGGGTACCGATTCCCCCTTGTTCAACGGTCGAAATATTTGAATTTTACACTTAGGGAACCGATTCCCCATAGGGAGTACCGATTCCCCCCACGCTCCAAACTGTTTTATTAATTGTTTTCACACTAAAACGGCTATATGATCTTCACTAATCATCCCCAACGTTCAGAAGAGATTCAAGGTGTATTTAAACGAGTTCTGAAGCCCTTGATCAACAAGAAATCATAGAGAAACAAGAGAGAAAGCATCAAACACCAAGTTTGTGCAAATCAAGCCAATTTTCCTTTCAATATTCATTTTGCTTTCAAGAACACCATTTGTACTCATTTGTAATTATCTTTGAGTGTTTTTTTCTTGTTCTAGAATTGTGCAAACATCTTACCTTGTGAGGTTTTCTTGTAAGTTTGCAAATTTGTAATCTTCTCTTTGGGAAAAAGAGTGTTCTCAAGAGTTGGGTATACTCTTGAGGGATTTTGTAAGGTTATCTCTTTGGCCTCAAAAGAAAGAACAAATTAGTGAATTTGTTGGAAAATCCTTAGTGTGGATAGCTAAGGTAGTGGACGTAGACTCTGTTTGAGTAAGGTTGTGCAAATACTTTCAATTTTTCTGCAAAAGCTTCCACGAAATTTTTAATTGCCAATTCACCCCCTCTTGGCCGATTCCGTCGATCGATTAACTCAACAATTGGCATCAGAGCCTAACTCATTTGAAGGTTTAATCGCCTCTTGAGTTGATTCGGGAAGAGTTATATCGATTATTAAAGTCATCAATGGCCTCCGCTTCAAACTTCAACTCCGGTCTCGATTCGATGCCCGTCAACAAGCCTCCTTTCTTCAATGGAGCTAACTATGCCTATTGGAAGAATAGAATGATGTACTTCATTCAAGCAAGTGACATGGGAGCATGGAATGCTGTAGAAGAAGGATATATCAAACCTCTCACTCATCCAAGGTTGTGGAGTGAAGGAGAGACAAGAATGTTCCAGCTCAACTCCAAAGCTATCCATATTATTTTTTGTGCTCTTGGACCAGATGAATACGGAAGAGTTTCATCGTGTACAACCGCCAAAGAAATATGGGACAAGCTTCAAGTCACACATGAAGGTACAGATGAGGTAAAGAAATCAAAAATTAGTATTCTAACGCATAGCTATGAAAATTTCAGGATGAAACCAAATGAAGACATCAAAGCTATGACGGATAGATTTTCAACGATTGTCAATGGTCTCAAATCATATGGAGAGATCATCTCAAATGAAAAGCTTGTGAGGAAGTTAGTCTACTCCCTCCCAAAATCATGGCAATCAAAGAAGACGGCAATCATCGAGTCTAAGTACCTATCGTCCTTAACTCTTGAATAACTTATCGGTTCACTCCTCACTCATGAGATGATGCTTGAAGATGAGGTGGACCTTGATAAAGTTGAAGAGACGCCAAAGGAAAATGAGAAGAAGAAAAATATTGGAGTTGCTCTCAAATCCACAAAAGATGAGAGTGATTCTAATAATGATGATGATGACGAGGAAATGGCATTGTTTGCCAAACGGTTCAGAAAAATGATGAGACCTTACCAAGGAAGAAAATTCAAACGAAATGAAGGCCTCAAAAATGAACCAAAAGAGAAGGACCCAATCATTTGCTATGAATGCAAAAAGCCAGGGCATGTCAAATATGATTGCCCACAATTGAAGAAAAAGGGTCAATCAAAGAATAAGCACAAGGCTCATGTGGCTACATGGAGCGATGAAGAAAGTTTCGATGAAGAGAAACAAGAAGTAGCAAACTTGTGCTTGATGGCATTCGGGGAAGATTCTAAGGTAACCTCTAACTCATCCGATTTTGATGATTTATCTTATGATGAGTTATTTGAGGAGTACAATGGGTTGGCTTCGGATTATGAGAAATTGTTTTTAAAATATAAAAATGATGTTTCAAAATTGAAAAATGAAAACAAACTCATATCCAAAACCAACAACGATCTTGAAAGTAAAATCAAAGATTTGCAAATCAAACTAGAAGAGTTTGAAAAGAAAAATTTAGATTTGCAAAATTTACTTTCAAAGATCAATGATGATCATCAAAAGAAAATTGATGATCTTAAAACTTCTTTTGATAAAGTTGGAACAAAACATTTTGAAAAATGTGGAAATTCAAAATCCAACTTTGTTAGAAAAAGTTTTAGAAACTACAATCATAGAGGTCCCCAAAGAACCTCTAATGGAAAAATCATTAGAATTATGTGGGTTCCTAAAGAACTCATTACTACTAAAGATAAAAATATCCTACACAAATGGATACCTAAGGGGACTAGGATTTTGGAAACTAATGAATATGGACCCAAAGAATTTGGGTACCAAAAATCAAAAATTAATCTATGTTTGTAGGGAAAGGAGCATTGCTACAAGGCACGGGAAACAAATTCAAATTCATGGTACCTTGATAGTGGATGCTCAAGACATATGACCGAGACAAAAGCCGGTTCATTGAGCTTAACGCCAAAAATGGAGGAGAAGTGACTTTTGGAGACAATTCAAAAGGTCACATTGAAGGTATTGGTACAATAGGTAATACCTCTTCCATACAAATTAAGAATGTTTTATATGTGAATGGATTAAAGCATAATCTATTGAGTATTAGTCAATTATGCGATAAAGGATTCAATGTCTTATTTGAAATTAATGGTTGTAAAGTCATTGACATTGCATCTAATCGGATTATGCTTGTTGGTCATAGAATAGGAAACATTTACATGGTGCATTTAGATTCTATTGATATGACTAATTTATGCCTAGTTGCTAAGGATGAGCATGATAGTTGGTTATGGCATAGGAGACTAGGTCATGCTAGTATGAGTGTTTTGCAACGGTTAATTCAAGGAGACTTAGTAAGAGGGTTGCCTAAGCTTAAATTTGATAATGATAAAATCTGTGATGCATGTGCTAAAGGAAAACAAAAGAGAGTTTCTTTTAAATCTATTAATGATGTATCAACTAGTAGAGTATTACAATTGATCTATTTAGATCTTTTAGGGCCAACTAGAACTACTAGCTTGGGAGGAAAACAATATGCATTTGTCTTGGTAGATGACTATTCTAGATACACTTGGGTTCTATTCTTAAGTACTAAAGATGAAGCATTATAAAATTTCATCACATTTTCAAAAATAATCCAAAATGAAAAAGGTTACTCTATCACTAGTGTTAGAAGTGATCATGGAACTGAATTTGAAAATCTTGGATTTATTGAGTTTTGTAATTCTAATGGTATTAGCCATAATTTTTCAGCACCTAGAACTCCTCAACAAAATGGAGTTGTTGAGAGGAAAAATCTAACTTTAGAAGAAATGGCTAGAACCATGCTTTGTGAAAATAATTTGCCAAAATATTTTTGGGCGGAAGCCACAAATACCGCTTGTTATGTTGTAAATCGAGTAATGATTAGGCCAATTTTAAAGAAAACTCCATATGAAATTCTCAAAAATAAAAAGCCTAACATTAGTTATTTTCATCCTTTTGGATGTAAATGTTTTGTTTTAAACAACGATAAAGAAAACCTTGGCAAATTTGATGCTAAAAGTGATGAAGGAATTTTTTCTGGGTTATTCCTTAAATTCTAAAGCTTATCGTGTATTTAATAAAAGAACTTTAGTTGTAGAAGAGTCTATACATGTTGTTTTTGATGATAATCCCCTTCCGAGGAAGGATTCTTCTGTTAATGATGATGTAGGTATTGTACAAGCAAATGACGTTAGACATGACGTTGGAGAATCATCATCAAAGGAAGAAACAAAAGATGAGGAAACTCATGATCCCCTCGAGAATCCAACCAGTGAAGAAAGGGAAGTATCTTTTCCAAGAGAGTACAACTATGTCAATGATGGTGAAATTATAGGTGATCCATCAAAAGGGGTAACTACTCGATCTTCTCTTAGAAATATCTGTAATTATGTTGCATTTATTTCTTGTATAGAGCCTAAGAACATCAAAGAAGCATTAAAAGATGAACATTGGATTATGGCTATGCAAGAAGAATTAAATCAATTTGAGAGAAGTAAAGCATGGACATTAGTTGAAAGGCCTAGTAATAAATCTACTATAGGTACTAGATGGGTTTTTAGAAATAAACTTGATGAAAGTGGTAATATAGTGAGAAACAAGGCTAGACTTGTTGCTCAAGGCTATACTCAAGAAGAGGGCATAGACTATGATGAAACATACGCTCCCGTAGCTAGGATGGAAGCAATTAGAATGTTATTAGCATTTGCATGTTTCAATGAATTTAAATTATATCAAATGGATGTTAAAAGTGCATTTTTAAATGGTTTTATAAAAGAAGAAGTGTACGTGGAACAACCTCCAGGTTTTGAAGATT